GTGCTGGATCGGGTAGAGGAGGAGCAAGCTCAGGGCAGTATCTGGGCATCATGAACCTGTACACGACACTCCCGCAATTCATGGGCACCGCCATTTCTTGGGTCGTCTTCTCCATCCTGGAACCGGGCAAGAGTCCCGAGCTGAGCGAGGCGCCGCCAGAGGAGCATCACAGCACGGATGGCCCCAATGGAATTGCTGTCTGTTTGTTCATTGGAGCGTGTTCGGCATGTCTCGCGGTAGTGGCTACTTTCAGATTGGGTAGGATCCAGGGAAAGATGTAGGAGAGAGAGAGAGCAGCCATCCGCGTGTGGCATAATATGGCTCGAACACCAAGACGCAAAACTTTTTTTTTCCTCATTGCCGCCTCCGTATGCAAGCATCAAGGTCGCAATCTGTACAATACAAACATACATATCCGAACTACCTCCGTTTCCTCCAACCCTCGACCCTAGTAAAGCAATCAGCGATGAAGGCAAAAAGCGAGCTGACGCGCTAGGCGGGATCGGGGCCCAGGAGAGATTTTGCTCTAAGATTTTCTAGTGGCCCGCTTTGTTCTAGAAGACAGGTGTGGCTCTGTCGGTGGTACACATCCGGGCTTCGGGAGGATAGAGGTGTATGTAGTAATTGTCGGCACATACGTGTATGTAACAATGTGTATCGATCGAGAATGGTGACATGGTCATGGTGATGATGAGGGTCCCTGCTCTGACGAGCTGTGCAACGTGGATGAATCAGGTCGGGCAGCTGGCGAGGGTTTTCGTTGAGGGCAAAGGGCCTTTTTTTTCCTAATCTCTATCTGGGTGGGTGGAGATGGGGGGGGGCGCATCGCATAGTGTGCCGTCTCCAGGTTGCTCGACTACTGACTGCTACAGCGTCTCTGCTCGCAGTTATCCGCATCGGCGGCCAAGGTCGGCCACGCATGGATGCAGCAGCGCAGCGGTGACAGTGACAGTGCGGGAGCGGGATGCAGTTGCAGGGCAATGGGAGGCGGTAGAGGCTACTGGGCACAAGCTGCATTTGACTGAAGCCGTCTGTGGCCTGTGGCCAGAGGGCAGAGGGCCTTGAGTCGTCCGTTGCGCGTGCCACGCCACGCCGGGCCTGGGAAAAGACGGTCAGGGTACAAAACCATCGGGGGCCCGGCTGGCCTGCGCGCCACAAGCTTTCTTTCTTTCCAATTCCCAGCGGCCGCCCTGAAGAAGCCAGCTTGATTGTTGCTGTTGCTCGTCGTTGCAGACTCTCGTACGGCCTCATCCACGCCTGCACACGCACCCAAGCCCCCCCGGCTCGCCCTCGATCCCTTGTATTTTCACACTAGGCGCAACTAGGCTCGTCCCTAGAAAACAACCCTTGCCTCGACTCAACCGCCGAAACATTTCCATCTCTCCCCAACCACTTCGCTTCGCCACTCTTGCATCCACACCACTCATTCGCCAAGATGTCTGAGCCGATCCGCAATAAGAAGATGGATGCCATTACCGCTCCGTAAGTAGTTTTTGACTCGATTTTTTTTCTGCCCGACGTCGCCCGACTTGCCTCTCCTCCTCCACTATCCCTCCATCACAAACTCCAACCAGCCCCTCGCCTCGTTTCCCCCCTCCACCCCCTCCATACATCATCCACCATGGACGTCCCTCAATCTAACGTCCGCCCGACCAGCACCCCCCAAAACACGCCTGCAAATGCCGCCCCGATATCGTCGCGCGCCCAGCAGCCTGGTGTTGGCACCATCAAAGAAGGTACGTCGCGAGAAGGAAAAATCCTTGTTGTTGTTGCTGCTGCCCCTCCAACCCCGCCCTGCCCTGTTTGTCGCACGCCCTGACCGCCAATCTGACTTTTTTTTCTTGTTTCGCAGAGGACATGGAGCGCACTGCCGCTGGACTTTTTGCTGCCAACCCCGCCCTCGTCGCCATGATGCAGAACAAGCTCGGCTCGCTCGTCGGCCGCTCCAGCGGCTACATTGAGTCGCTTCCCGCCTCGGTTCGCCGCCGAGTGGCCGGCCTCAAGGGCGTCCAGAAGGAGCACTCGAAGCTCGAGGCTGAGTTCCAGGAAGAGGTGCTCCAGCTCGAGAAGAAGTACTTTGCCAAGTTCACACCTCTGTACCAGACGCGCCAGAAGATTGTCAACGGCGCCGAGGAGCCCTCAGAAGAGCACGTCAAGATTGGCGAGCAGCAGCAAGAGGACGACGAGGATGAGGACCAGCCCGAGGCTGAGCTCAACAAGGACGAGGGCAAGGACGTCAAGGGTATTCCCGAGTTCTGGCTGAGTGCCATGAAGAACCAGATCTCGCTCGCCGAGATGATCACAGACCGCGACGAGGCTGCCCTCAAGCACCTCACAGACATTCGCATGGAGTACCTCGACCGCCCCGGTTTCCGCCTCATCTTTGAGTTTGAGGACAATGACTTCTTCACCAACAAGACCATTACCAAGACCTACTACTACCAGGAGGAGAATGGCTATGGCGGTGACTTCATCTACGATCACGCCGAGGGCGACAAGATTGAGTGGAAGGCTGGCAAGGACTTGACTGTTCGTGTCGAGAGCAAGAAGCAGAGGAACAAGAGTGAGTTTTTTTCGATGATATTCTTTTCTCACACGACAAGACATTGACATGATTTTTGCAGACACCAAGCAGACGCGCGTTGTTAAGAAGACTGTGCCTACAGAGTCGTTCTTCAACTTCTTCGACCCACCCAAGCCCCCACAGGACGACGACGACGCCACCTCGGACATCGAGGAGCGTCTCGAGCTCGACTACCAGCTTGGTGAGGACATCAAGGAGAAGCTCATTCCCCGCGCCATTGACTGGTTCACCGGCGAGGCTCTTCAGTACGAGAACATTGAAGACTTTGACGAGGGCGAGTTTGAAGATGAGGACGATGAGGACGAGGATGAGCTCAGCGATGACCGCGAGGAGGAAGAGGAGTCTGACGACGAGGTAGGCATTGACAATGATTCGATATATCGGAACACCGCTAACACATTTGCAGAACGACGGCACAAAACCCAAGCAGGAGGCTGCTGAGTGCAAGCAGAGCTAAATGCATCAGCCTGCACCACATCTCAAATTACCAAGAGCGTAATCTTCCGAGTCGTTCAGGGCGGAATGTTCATCTTGGACTGCTACAGCATGGGTCCATGGCGATCTCGGCTTGCCACGACGTTTCCACGAATCTTTATATCCAACACCACTTTTCCATGACTTCTTACCTGGCGTAATACTTGCATCAAGAGAGCGCAGGGGCAATGGTTGATTGGGGTTGCCACGAACTAGCCATTTCACCAAGTATTCTAGACCTCCCACCCTTCTTACACACATCCCCTTTTATCAGGTTCACGGCCCACAACCAACGATCGCTTAGCATAAACGGCGTTGTCTAGGTGGGGTTTTGCTGCATGTATTTTCCTTGGGATTGCCAAAGGGGGCTTGATGTTTTACGATGGCAGTAGAATGGCGTAATCAGGCTCGAGTGCGTGTCATGAGTAAATGAAAAGAAAAAGTTTGAACCCCCATTGGTTGGACCATGTGATATTTGTGCGTGGGGGGGGGGGGGGTTTCATTGTGACGTATCAGAGTGAATGGGACTGTAATTGTGGACGTCGAGTTTGAACGACAAGCTGTCGGAGTTGTTTGTCAAAAAAAAAACAGTGTCGTTTGACAACTATCCTGCATGCTTGATTAATTTTTTTCTGTTGGACCACTAATTTGCAGACCAGCGGCGTTGGAGAGACACTGGCTGCATATTTCCTTACTCATTCTTTTGGGACCGTTATTGTGTGCGGTATTGAGTACGTAGCGCGGGGTAACAAGTTAGCGGCGCGGTGGGGGGAAGTGCTTACCGGGTGAAGTTCGGGAAATGGGGGGTAAGGAAAGTTCTTGGGAAAAATAATTCTGGGACGCCCCGTTGGTACAGTGATACCAGCCAACTTTTTTTCTTTCTTTCTTTACAACGCGACCGCCATATACTGAGATTTCGTAACTCGGTGTATTCCTTTGCATTGTTCGCCCTACGGAAATCATTGGCGAAAAGAAACCCCCCCAAAGAAATTCGGGGCATCGGTCTTCGCTACAGGGCGCATACAGTAAAGAGCATTCAGGGTGTGCAACTCTTGAACCCGCAACACGTCGAACCAGGAATAAAAGAAGGAAAGCAGACCAAATGGGGCGCACAAACCCCAACATTGTAATAACGGGTACACCGGGCGTAGGCAAGACGACGCACGCAGAGCAACTAGCGCAAGCAACGGGATTGAAGCATTTATCTGTGAATCAGATTGTCAAGGATGAGGGGTTCCACGAGGGCAAGGATGAGGAGACGGGGAGCTGGATTGTAGATGAGGACAAGGTACGTCCTTCCCTTCCCCTAAACCCTCCACTTTGTTTTCCACATCTCCCAGCAAAAGACGTATTGTTGCTAACCACGCCCCCTTTGCCAAAATCAGCTGCTCGACTACCTCGAATCCCTCCCTTTGCACAGCACCGGCGGCTACATCCTCGACTGGCACGCCTGCGACCTCTTTCCCGAACGCTGGATCGATCTCGTCGTCGTGCTCCGATGCGACTCGTCTATCCTGTACGACCGCCTTGCCGCGCGGGGGTATACGGGGAAGAAGCTGGAGGAGAATATGGATAGTGAGATTATGCAGGTTTTGCTCGAGGAGGCGCGCGAGGCGTATCGGGAGGAGATTGTGGTGGAGTTGAGGAGTGAGCGGGCGGGGGATGTCGAGGCGAATTTGGAGAGGTGTGAGGGGTGGGTGGAGCAGTGGAGGAGGGATAATGTTAAGGAAGGGGAGGAGGAGAAAGAGTGAAGACTGGGGGAGAAAGAAAAAATGAAAGTTTGGGGGGAGGGGAGGGGAAGGGGAAGGGAAAATAACGGGGAAGGTGTATGATACCATTGTAACGATTATGAGATTCTTTTTTTTCCTTCTTCGTGTTTCTCTATTTCTGGGGTATTGGAGGTGTAGGTGGGTGCTTGCTCCTGCTAGTGGGTGTATACAGCTCAAGCGGACTCGGTCTTACTCGCCAACCACTCCTTCAATTTCTCCAGTGCCTTTCCCCTGTGGCTAATCTTGTTCTTCTCGCTCTTGTCCATTTCCGCATACGTTTGGCCTTCGTACTCGAAGCACGAGTCCCAGCCTATATCCCACCTGTTAGCAAACCCACTAAGAGCAAGAGTAAAGGGGAAAAATAATAAAAAAACGTACCGAAAACAGTAGATCCTCGACTCTCAACCAACTTTCCATCCGTTCTCCCCTGGAACAAAATTGCTTCGTGGCCCGGTCCCTCGCAGTATCCGAATGTGCAGACTGCCTGGGCGGATTTGTCGTCGAAGCCTGCGAGGAGTTTGTGCAGGTTTAGGGGGCCGAGGGAGAGCATGAACCATTTGCTGTAATTGTAGGGTAAGAAAAAGTTTGGGAAGGGGGGTTTAGGAAGAGAGAGGGAGACGCACATGTAGGGGCCGGGAAGGTCGTTCATAGCGGGGAAGCAGAGGCAGGTGTCTTCGACTAGAACGGGGCCTTTTACCTGGATGGGGGGTGTTAGTTCTTTGAGAAGCAGCAGCAGAAGAAGAAGAAGAAGAAGAAGAAGAAAAAAAGAGGTTGAGATGGGCTGGAGTGAGATGTGTTTCTCTTGTTTCCTGCTCTTATTTGTGCACCGCTCCCATATTTGCTGTGAATCTCCAAATCAAATTGCGTGTAGTGATGGGAGAACTTACGGCTTCAGCGGCTCGTCGTGCCTTATCTCTGGTCACTTCTTCGACTGTGCCTTGGATTTCGACTAAGTCGACATTCTGGTTTCGCAGCTCAATGACACCTGAGAGGATGGCTTGGACTTCGGCGAGCTTGTTCTTGTTGCCGGTTATGAAGTTGAGGTGTCTGGGGACTGTTGTGGAGGCCATCTTGGATATTTTTTGATCTGTCAATTGGGAATGGCGTTTATCTTGTATGTTGGCAAATTTATCATAAGCTTGTCGTTTTGCTGTGCTGAATGTTAATAATCGAGCATTGAAATCGCAATGCTGTGTTTTGATATACCTTCTTCCCCCACTATTATTCCGCTGATTGTTAATCAGCGTCTTGAAAATTTCGAAATGACTACAATAGCGGAATTAGCAAACGTGCAGGTGTAAAGGGCGCAGTTGGCGTCAAGCCCCCATAGCGGTAACATTAGCCTATCTTTTGCAAAGGGCGTAATCCACCAACACTGCCACTTTGAATTTTTTTTAGCGTCACGGAGGTACGTACAATTTAAGAGGTGCGTTCCTCACACGATGTTCTGATTACAGAGTCAGTCTTGCAGATATGTTGATAAGACCGAGGGGTTCTATGATTAGCTTTCTCACTTGTACTAGTAAGCGAGCTGAACAAGGATCCCGTGCCTCAAATGTAACCGTGGCCGACAAACCATTACCCTCAGCCGCATCAATCACACCCTGCTATGTACCTGCATAAACACCTGGTGTCCTCTAAATTACCCATTTCCAGCTTAGAAAGACGTGTATAATCGCCGAAGCAAAAAGAGCCTCATGGCTTGAGGCTGAGCTTTTCACCGTCATTCCGCTTTACCCAGCGACAATCACGACACCCACAACAGCTGATCCTCATCACGGCGCATAACGGAGCTGGGCATTTTCCTCTTCCTGGCTCTCTTCACCGAAAATCACACTGTACACTGCCGCTTCGTCACCGCCAGAATGGGTTCTCTCAAGACGTTGTTTCTGGCAGTGCATGCCTCCAACGGCATAATAAGAGCATTGTTTCTGCCAGCATGCTATATCACGCTCTTCAGTCCGATCGCACTGGCTATTGCATGGTACTTTGGCTTGCTACAAACACTCGAGAATCTCATACCTGAAGACTTTTCCTGGTTCGATCTTCTACCTCAGTTCGCTATTTCGGCAGTCCTTTTCCTTTTGCCTACCAGATTCTTTTCGGCCACAGGTAACGAAGTCAAGACCAAAGATGGGAAGAGACGGATACAATCGCTGCCATACTGGATCCCAGGGTTCAGAAACCTCTGGAGTATCGCGCTTAGTGGCGAGGAGTGGTTAAAGAGCGTGAGGTAAGCGCGAATATTTCTTCGACTATAGTATATGTACTTAACCATTTGCAGAGAATCATCTACCGTCAATGTGATTGCGTACAAGGCCGCAGGAACCCAACATAACGTCCTTCTTTCAGAAACTTTACTCGCTCAAATCTACAAGAATTGGCAGAACCTGGAAACCCCGGACAACAACCTAACCGCCATTCTTCGCAACGCATTCAAGCTACCTTCAGTAATGGAAAGCCACTATCTTGAGATATTACCGGAAATCAATCAAATTGTCGAAACCGAACTGTACGGAGGACCGAGTAAGGAAAATCTTATCAAAACGTCACTGAGTCTCATATCCGAATCCCTTCCGGATCTCGCCACTTTCAATTCAAGTATTGTCGACCAGATGCAATGGGAACGCGTCTCGAACATGGAACTCACGGATGGTACATCAGAGGTCGAGTGCAATCTGTTCGCGCTTGTCAATGAGTTTTGTTGCAACGCCATTCTGCCGCCGATTGTTGGAACTCGTTTCACTGAATCCTATCAACTACTTCCTACGGACTTGGCTGCTCTCAATGAACGCTTTTGGGCACTCGCTCTCGGTTTACCACGACTTTCGCCTATTCAAGGCCTACCAGGATCAGCTTTGGCCCAAAAGAGGTTGATACAAAATTTTGCAAGTTACTTTGAGGACCTAACCAACCCACCAGTAAAGCGGGTGCCGGCTGATGATGAGAGTGTGAGCGGCGAGGAAGATACAGATGCTGATACAGTAACACCTCTAATGAAACTCAATCAAGTATTCTCCAAGCATGACCTTCCAATGGAACTTCGAGCCTCGATCGCTCTCCACATTGTACATGATATAGTCTCAGAAGTCGTACCGCTTGTTTTCTGGACGCTACTCCATGTTTACTCGTCGTCGAAAGTGCAAGAGCCGAAGAATTTGGAAAGCCTGCCACTCGAGAGGATCAAGAAAGAGACTAGAACTTGGGCCCAGGCTTTCCAACCGCCATCAATTCATCCCGCATTCCCGGCACCGCCAGAGATACGCTTTGGATCAGCCACTCAGGTCCTCACTACAGCCTTTTCACCTTATCTTCGCTCGTGTATCAACGAGGCTCGCCGTCTGTACAGCTGCTCTGTCAGTGCGTACAAGATCAAACAGACCATTACGCTGAAAGAAGAGGATTCTGTACGGACAGGCATAGAAGAGGAATGGGAGTTAGAAGCGGGGGCGTTTGTTGACATCGGCCTTTCTCAATCTATGATCAATTCATCGTCGGCATCACACCCCGATCCACAAAACTATAAGTCGGACCGCTTCCTCAATGCCCTGGTTTCATGTTCTATTGTTGCTCCGAATAACCTGTCGGAATCGTACAAGACTGCACTTCTCATCCCGTTGGTCGCTGGTATCATGCAGCTATGGAAGATTGCTCCGGCGCCAAAGAAGAGCTTCTTTGACCAAATCCAAGAAGCAGGGAATGAAGCATCAATTGGCGCAGCCGCGCTTTCCGGAGAGGAAAAGGCGGCAAGAGATGAAGCCAACAAAGCGAGGGAAAATGCAAAGAGAAAGGACGCAAAATGGGCGCTTCCGACGGCCGTTGATGGAGCAAGCATCAAGGTTCCGAAGGCTGATGTCAGGGTAAGGATCCGTAGGAGGGAAGGTTTACCTACAAGTAAGATTGTTGGGCGCATTGGCTAGCGAACCATTCTGAGACTTGAGCGAAGCGGGCTATCGCCCGTTGCCGGACTAGGAGATACCTTGTATACAATTACGCGAATAGTACGAGTTTCAAGTGTAGCAGGTGTCACCGTGTGTCAACAAACGCATGCATATTGGTGATTTTCTAGATAGCGAATGCTGACGGTCGGACCGCGATCCAGAGATACGCCATACACACGTCTAGGCACACAAGCATTGGAGCATGTCAAGTTCCGTGATCACCATCGACGATGCCAATGTCATTGAACTCGTAACCCCCAAAGAAAATCTCCACGACACGAATCAAGACGAGAAAATCAATAAACTATCTTTTGCTATCGAACCTTGGGCCAAATCAGCGACCGTACCTGTAGCCGGGTGTGTATCTGCCACATCACAATAGTCCTGTAACCTAGGCACTCGTACCCGTTTCCCCAAGTGCCCGAGGTGCGTCCACACGAAGAAAGCCACGATGCCCAAACCTCAATCTCGATCCGCAACCCTATCTACCTCCCTGTAGAGTGTCTCTGGCATCACGATGATTCCACCTTAAAAACAAGGGGGTAGTACTTACAAACCATATGGCTCCATCAATGTACATATACACATACGTACATTGTACATGAAATGCACATGTACAACTCGGCCGCTGACGTCGGCCGCACATCACCCAACCAAAGTAGCGGTGAAAACCAACAAGGGAAAGCGGGTGTAGGGCAGGGGTGTATGTTTGTGGAGGGGGGTGTGGATGCATACCTCTTTTCCTTACAAGAAAAAACCCGCCCATTTGCCGATCGACACTAGAAGGCAACCACGGCATTCCACCATCAAACCATGACCTCCACATTACTCCATTACCGGACGTCGGGCTGTGCAAAAAAGAACGAGAAACCTCCCCCCAAAACAAGCAATACCCCTGCAACAACAACGACCAAGTTACACATCCGAACCATGTCCAAGTATCTCCCCATATCTCTCTCCCTGTCTCGTTCTCTCTCCGCAAATCAAACACACACGCGCGCGCGCGCACAATCTGCCCATACTCAAGTCCAGCACCTCCCTGCCCCCCATTCCCGTTTCCCCGCGAAACAACCAAAAAAAGGCGCCCAGCATAAAAAAAACCCCCCCGGACATGGGGTAGGGGTGTGGAGGCTGCGATGCGTGTAAAAGTAACTCGACAACATGAAAAAAAAACGGGAACATAGTAGCGACGCTTAGACGCGCCGGTGAGAAACCAAGCGCGTCCCTCCTCCTCTTCCCTCCCTCCCAAAGCGTTGCGTATGCGCGCGCGCGTGAGCGCCCCGCCCATCGATCCATCCCCACCTATGGAGAACGGGCAACGATCGGAGTGTTTTTTTTCCTCTCTTGCGCACCTCGCTCGCGCAACACACGGCCTCTTTTTTTTGCGCCGCGTTCCAGAGAGTCTAGAAGCTGCGGATCGTCTTTTTTTCCCCTTTCGGGGGGGGGGGGGAGGGGGACATATGGGGAGGGTTGGCATTAGGCTTATTTACTTTATTTACTCTTTTGTTAGTATTAGCGAGAGGGGACAAGTCGGAGGTGGCCGGGGGGGGAAGGCGTTGGTCAGGTGCCGTAACGGCTGTGTACGTGTTATACTACTACTACGTTTATGAGGTAAGGTCGGGATGCCAACGGATGAGAATGGGTAAGAGAGGGAAAGAGTGAGAAAAAAAGACGCATCACGGTATATGGGCTGATGACGATGGGGGGTTTCGGATAGGGAATGAGGGGTGTTTATTGATTTTTTTTGTTTTCAGCTGTTACTACGAAGAATTGGGGAGAGGTGATAGGGTAGAGACTGGGATACAGGTACCTGGTGATATGCATGCAAGAGGTGGTTGTGAAAGATCTAGATTAAGCTTGTGTAATCCGGAGCTTCGGGGCGTGTGTGTGTGTCTCTGTGTGTGTGTGGATACGTGTCACGTGGTGGGCTGGAGGCGGTCAGGAGATGGCCTCAGTAAGGATATTCTCCCGAGGATAGTCGTCTTCACGCATGACTTGTAGGTACACGAGCTGAACGGCGGGAACCCTGAGCCGCGTAACATAAACTTTATAAGTATTCCCAAATGTCAATTCCCCATCGAGAAGCATTACAGCTTCGGTATCAGCCTTCCTAGCTCAGTGGTAGAGCGCGTCACTAGTAATGACGAGGTCGTCAGTTCAATTCTGGCGGAAGGCAGCTTTTTTGCTGGTGGCATCATGGCGCAAGTGTGGTAGTAATTGTGGCAGTTGCAGGAATCAGTTGTCATGTCATGTCCATGCATCGAAGGCGTCGGTTACAATTGATATTTTTTTTGGCTGACCGCTAGATAGCATTCACACATGAATCGCAAAAGCATAATCAGCTACTGCACTTTGTTCATTATCAGAAGATGAATAATTTTTGTACTGCGCTTCATTGATTGTGCGACTATTTGCATATTCAGGGTGCACTGGTCAGTGCTGTCGACACAGACCACACATGGCATTCGATTCAAGGCCTAGAAAAGCCATACATGCGTTCACAGCACAAATGCGACAGGATGACTAGTGCACTAAAGGTGCATGAAATTGGAACTCGTCAATGTCATTTCCATGATACTTTTCCCGCACGAACTGATAACACCAGATGCGGATCGTACCCCATGCACGCCATCACTGCCGCGGACTCGCATGAAGGGTCATGTTTATCTTTTATTTGTAAACACAAACACCTTTGGAATGCCGATATCATGCCGCAGAAAGTTGAAAAGACCCAGAACCCCTTGGCTATCCATTGATACCCTTAAACCTGATCAAGGACAGTCTCCTTGAACTCACGCTCAACCTTCTGGCCAGAGTCGTCCTGGCTCGACTCGCCGTGGAGACCAAGGAGAGCACCAAGGTCGAACTTGGGTGCCTTGAGGAGCTTGACCTTTCGGACGTGGACCTGTATCTTGTGTTAGCGTTTTTATTTTTCTTTTTGCCATAGCATGTGGCAGTCTTAGCAAACACGTACGTTCTGGAGGGGGTAGATGCCCTGGGTGGCCTTCTCAATCTCGCGACCAATGACCTCGGGGATGAGCTTCTGGGTGAGCTGAGCGAGGGTGCATGCGCTGGCGTCGCGGGTCATGATCTCCATCATCTTCTTGCGGATAGCCCTGATCTGCGACGATTGAGCGTATGTGGTCTTCTTGACCTGGTTTGGTCGTCGCTTGGTGAAGGCAATGCAGAAGAGGCGGATGAGGTAGTCATCGGTGGTCTTGACAACGACGTTGGCCTCGATGAGAGATTGCCACTTGCGGACGAGGGAGCGGAGCTTGTCGGAGGTGAAGTCGAGGCCGTGGAAGTTGGTCAGGCAGTTCTTGCCCTGGACCTCGTCGACGCGAAGCTTGACCTTGCGGAAGGCGTGGTCCTCATCCTTCTGGAGATCGGCGAGCGAGACCTCGAATATCCGGCCCTTGAGAGCGTCGTTTGCGTTCTTGAGACCGGTGGTACGGTTGACGAGGGTCTTTCCAACACTGCGAAGAACGTAGAGTAAGCATTGAATCCCCGTGTGTGTGGCAGCGGGAAGTCTTACTCTCGGACCGCGAAAGTTCCTGGGGCCTTGATGTTGTACCAGTCCTTCTTAGCGAAGGTGTCGGTCTTCTTCTTGAGACCCTTCTTTCCCTTTGAAAGACGCTTGTTCTTGCCGACAGCCATGATTGCGAGTCTTGTTGTCGGGCGTCGAGATGTGGTGGGTTGTCGTCGTCGATGTCGAAGAGCGAGAATCCAACGCCAATGTGGTGTTGAAAATCTAAGCGAGACCAGTAGCGCATCACGTGCGCCAAGACCACACAAGGCCACGGCGATCCGCAGATGCACCACTCTGATTGCAATGCAAAGCGCCTGGCTGGACAGCGACCTGGCGGATTAATGTATGGGAGCTATGGAGCAAGTTCTGGTAGGCGGAAGAAGCCAGCATCTTGTCGCTTTTGTATTTGTTCTGGAGGGTTTAGGTGCTGCGCGACGTTTTGCTATCTATAGGCTGGACATGCACGAATTGATCTCATCACTGAGGCATGAGTAACATAGGTGTTGAACATCCGTGGCGTGCAGCCCATTTGTCCTCTGATAAGGTGCGATGCGCGTGTGCAGTGGAGGAGCGGAGGAGCCAGTCCAGGCCTCAGCATGTGGCGAGGGCGGGGGGGGGGGCGATGGAATCACCAGCACAACTTCACTCACGGAACAACATGTGAAAAGGTCGGTAATGGGATAATGCGTTGGTATTGTCATGTTATTACATCTAGTATACTTCTAATATGGGAGTGGGCTTGGTACGGGCTGGAAAACGCCTCACGTGCCTGGCCCCTCAACCTAAGGGAGCTGTGCTCATGCGCCTCCTTTAGCATCGTACCGACTCGAACACGTGCACTGCGGTGATATGACCAAAAGCAACAGCCCGGTGGCTGTGCGTGTAGTCATCAGACACCTGGACAGGCCGCTTCCTTCCACCCCACGTAACGTGCCGCCACGCACCTCCACGTCGCACAAGGCTGACAGTCTGACTTGACCTGCCTGCGCACAAATCATCGTGAAGGTGAGCGTAGTGGCTCCAGCGCGGCCTCAGCACGGGGCTGGGTCCGATCGCTCAATAGGCTGTACATTGCTGACGCTCTGTAGCCTCGGATGCAGGCAAGGTGCGCTGCTCCTGGGAAGAGAAGTGGGGGTTGACCTGGTGAATTGGGTGGTAATGGGATTTGGGAGGTCTTGGTGCATGTCGAAGGGAGTCTTCGTGACATGGCATCCTAGACCTCAGCGGGCCGTACGTTCAAGCCTTGACGTCGGTCTGCTGTTCTTGCTGGGCATATGGGCTTTCAGTCTGGCAGAACTTCTCAAAGTCTGGGAAGCTGATGTAGCCATCTAGAAGCAATGTCAGTGTCATGTTGTGGAAGAGAGAGAGAGAGAGAGGCATTGGTGAGGTATGCTTACCCTGCTGTCTGTACTGCCTGACGTAGCGATCACTCTCGGTCCGTGACATGGCA